TAAAAATTCTTGTTACGTTAAACAGGTTAATAACAAGATTATTTTTACAATGTATTGTATCTGAGAAGTTTTAATCTAGCGAATATCGATTAACCACGTTGCAATTAGATACAAGTTACTAACAGCACTCGACCAGTCAAAAAGCTCTAGGCACTATGTAATCGTAACATTGTGGTCAATCAAAATCCTTCTTAATCTGATATAATATTATAATAATTATTTCTATATAATAATAAATAAGCTATGCATTTATCACATTACTTAATGTGCTTTTTAGTGTACCTAAATACTTTATAGCTTTTACATGATACATATGTTCTATCTATTAAATATCTTCTTAGAAATATCTAGAGACTAACATACTTGCAAGCCTGACAAACAACATCACTTTGAAGGCACCCAGTAAATATTTGATCGATGATACACTTGCAGTGATGAGGGTTATCTTTGACCAGTATCGTAGTGGCTTCACAGTGTTTATGAAGAACATCTAGTGTAGCAATGAAGAATTCATGGGCATCTTGCTGCTCATAGCCTGCTAGATGTCTGACGTGGGTCCAAATCAAATGGAGAAGTTTGTGAAGCGTCAATGGAGCTTTGTTGCCGGAATAGAACTCCTGGAACAAATGGGATACCTCGCAGACCAAACAGAGACTCGGTTGCGGGCAGTGATGACGGTCAGCAAGGAAGTAGTCGCGTAATAGTGGAGTGTGAATAAGCGCCTGTACGATGCAATTTACGAAACAAGTATTTCCAAGATTGATGAGTCCCCTTAAACCTGAAATTAACATTAACTTTTACATTATTCTACAAAGAATATTTAAATCATTATTGTCGAATTATATTTTTCTGAAGACAGAACATTATAACATTATAACATTATTTGCATTTGTATAAAATTTATTTAACTTATACAATGTGATCTAGAAATTGAACTAACAATAAGCTTGAGATTTTTTTCAATACCTATAGTGGAATTTTCTACAACGCGTCTTCGACGCGGATGATTTCTCAATAACTCCGCCTCCGTCTGCGTGGGTTCCCATGCACGATAGAATTCCCCGAAGCTCAAGGATTTCGCCAACTCGCTCCATTGTGCTTTTGCTACTTTTAACAATTCTCTATCGTATACATAATCACCGCATTGGAAGCACAAAATATTCCCATAACACAGATCAACGGCTGCGATAAAATAGAACAAATAAAACGATATAAAAACAGGTAATTGATTAACTATGAAATTATTATATAAAAAAAACTCACGTAATATAATTTTATTTATTTATATATTTATTTTTAACAAAATATTTAAATGCATGTAATATTCAATATTGCATGTAATAGTTCTAAACTGAAAAATATCCCATTACCTAAAAAATGTTTCTTCGTTTTTGCATGCTCTTGTATATGACCTTTTACATAGCAGCCAAAAAATATACAATGAAGACAAGAATGTAGGCGATCCTTGTAAG